TTCTTCTTCATATGAAGCAGGTGTTTGGGAGTGCAAGCTACAATGTGAAAGTACACATGAGTCAATGTCAAGGTGCGATTTCATAAAATAAAAATGTTATCACTCGCAGGTTTTGAACCTGAGCAGTCCAAGAGAAACAGATTTTGACTCTGACAATTATTTGACAATTTCATCTTTAGCAGGTTTTGAACCCATGCAGACAGATTTGGATTCTGTTGCATCAACTGCTTGGCTAAGGCCAGTTAGATGCACTCCTAATGAATCCATTCAGGCGTGGATCCTAAATGTACATTTATCTGCATTTTGTCAGCTCTAACATTAATTTCTAACATCCCCCTTGAGTCCAATCATATGTGATCCTTCATGCTATTGAAAAAACTGCCTTTAGGATTCACTTGTGAATGAGTCCATTGGAAGTGCCTCTCACTGGTCTTAGCCAAGCAGTTGATATGACAGAATCTAAATCTGTCTGCGTGGGTTCAAAACCTGCTAAAGATGAAATTATCAAGTGATCACCAGAGTCAAAATCTGTTTCTCTTGGAATGTGCAGGTTCAAAACCTGTGAATGATGAAATTTATTTTCTATGAAAACACATCTTGACATTGTCTCATGAATGATTTTCTCAACAACTCATCTCGACTGATGTTAGCCATGTCATTGCTGCAATAGATTCAAAATCTGTTTCACTTAAAGTCTACAGGTTTGAAGCCTGTTGAGTGACACATTTTTTGTATTAGAACATGTCTTGTATATCTGCTCATGTACAGCATTTCAAATGTTGATCTTCATTGGTCTTAGTCAAATTGTCACCAGAGTCAAAATCTGTTTCTCTTGAACTGTGCGGGTTTAAAACCTATCAACAATAACATTTTTATTTTTATTCTCTGAAATCGCACCTTCACATTTTACACATGAATCTTAAAATGAATTGGAAGGCCTCAAATTTCTGGTGGCATTATGACTTTCTTGGAAGAGAAACCAAAAAAACTCAAAGCTGGTGTATGAAACCATGTTCCACTGCTAGCCTTGCAGCAACTTGTTTTATGATCCATGCCAACTGTTGAACATTGTCCGAGTCACTCTCTATGAATGATATCAGAGACTGTCTATGATTCAATATTCAAGGCATGTTCTAATAAAAAAATATGCAGCATTCAATGGGTTTCAGACTGTCAAGGTGCATTTTCATCAAATAAAAATGTTATCATCAGCAGGTTTCAAACCTGCGCTGTCCAAGAGAAACAGATTTTGACTCTGATGATCACTTGACAGTTTCATCTTTAGCGGGTTTTGAACCCACGCAGACAGATTTAGATTCTGTCGTATCAACTAATTGGCTAAGTCCAGTTAGATTCACTTCTGATGAACTCATTCAAAAGTGAGTACTCAAGGTACATTTATCTGCATTTTATCAGCTTTTTCAATAGCATGGTCAGTGTTGATTTTTTATGCTACTCTTATTGCAAAAGACACAGACTTCCTGCTGGGGGTCTTGACTTCAAGACCTGTTTGTCTAACAATTTCCCTAAAAAAGTGCTGATGGAAGACCACCATGGTGTGTTCATGAGTGAAAACTGACAATGAAAGGATCACACAGTGTATTTTTGACACAGAGTTCAATATATGACCAAAGTCTTGATGCAAACTCAGAAGGATATAAGTACAATAACAATATAATTCTTTCTAAAGGTCTTGACTTGGTTGAAGAAGAAAAAGAGCAGATTACACATCAAACTTTCAAATTTGATCCTAATAACCTGGGGAATTAGGAAAAACACAAATCTATTAAGGCTGAGATTCTTTATTATGCTTATTCAAGTGATCGCCAGAATCAAAATATATTTCTCTTGAACTAAGCAGGTTTGTAATATATATAATGATGTGTCTTTTGCATTAACTTGTGATTCATCACATTCCACCATTTTGGATTTCATAGAATAGAAATGTTGTTGTTTTTAAACCTGCACAGTCGAAGAGAAACAGATTTTAAATCTGGTGACAACTTGACCAAGACCAATGAAGATCAATTTCTGAGATGCTGTCTATGAGCAAATATTCAAGACACATTCTTAGAGAAAAAATGCAACATTTGACAAGTTCAAGTTTCAAACTTGTTGCACTCTGATGGAAACAGATTTTGATTCTGTTATGACAGTCACTTAGCTAAACACAATTGTGATCAGCTTGCAAGCAAACTGACCACGAGCAAATTTTTCAAGGTGCGTTTTCATAGAAAATAAAATTTATCACTGGCAGGTTTCAAACCTGAGCAGTCCCAGAGAAACAGATTTTGACTCTGATGATCACTTGGCAAATTCATCTTTAGCAGGTTTTGAACCCACGCAGGAACAAATGATGCTCCTGACTGTATCTGTAAATAGTTGTAAGGTCGCGTGTTGCCTAGTCTGCGTTACTTGAGGAGACAAGTGCGTTCAACCCTAAAGGGGAAGCAAGTGGAGCGAAGATCTAGAGGTACACGCTGAAGCGAAGTGCAAGAAAGCGCAGGTGCGCGCATATTGCGCGAAGTGCAGGAAAGTGCGCGCGTGTATGCGGAAATGAGAGACTAAGCTTAAGTGATGATATAAAGCAAGATAAGAGATGTGAGATGCAATGTGCTAATGAACAGATTTCTACTGTGACTTTCTAGGTATTAAGTATGTAAGTAAAGTTGGGTGAAAAGGTAAGTTAAAGTGAAAAGTAGTTGAAAAGTGAGGTCAAAAGTCAGGTATGTACTGCTGGTGCTTATATAGGCACCTAAGTGCTGTCATGCAGAGCCGAAGCGCTACCGAGTAGGTATGTAAAGATATATATGAGTGAGAGTCCATGGTAAAAATAAAGACGGAACAATATGCAAATGAGAGAAATAGAAATATACACACTAGAGGGCTTGGTGGACAGTGGATGGATGCTTCTGGAAGGCTGGCGCCATAAGGGCACTCAAGCGCGGGAAAGCATGCACACATATACATCATGAAGCACGGGAAGTGTGCGCGCATGGCGCACATTGCGTGGGAAAGCTGCGCCTCATATAGAGATAGCTGCGGGTAGTGCACAGAGTGACGCTACAAGTTTGTGCTATGTACTCCCTAGTGTAAAGCGCCATATCACACCATGAGAGGCATGATTCTCTACAGTGTTTGAAAGCATCTAAGCGTGGAATGTTGCACTATTGTCTAAATACTTCTGCTTTATCTCAGAACTTCTTCAGGTCATTAAAATCAAAACTGGAAAATTTGATGTGTAATCTGCTCTTTTTCTTCAACCAAGTCGAGACCTTTTGTCAGAACTTTTTTCATGGCATTTTGATGCATTAAAATGCCTTGACGGCATAATTCTATCGTGATCAATCAGTCAGCATTTTAATGGTCATTATTATCGCATCATGATACATATTTCCATACTTGTCGAAATAATAGGTCCAAACTTCAAAATGAGCATTTGTAAGCATATTGTGATTGGTGCATTTGCATTTTGGATGGCATCAAGATGCACTTCAAAATGAGCTCTGCGTAATTTCGACGCTCACCTTGATGGTCATTGTGACCACATTAGAATACTTATTGGGTTGATCTAGATGGGTACTTAAATTATTCTGAATGAAAGTGTGAAACAATTAAAATGTATTGCATCAACATTTACAATGGGTAGGTGCAGTATGATAATCAAGACAGACTGAGCCCTAAAGTACGTCGACACCTCTGCTGAATCTGCAACGCCAGATTCAGAGCCTGCGGAGGGTAGGTAACCAAGGTATTCCAGCCTGTGCCCGTGCCCGTGTCACACCATACCTGTGTCACTCCAAGTGACCAGTATACCGCTACCCAGGCAATAACCGCTAATGGAGTGACGTGTGTCAACTCAGCTTGCTATCAGTGTATCCCAGCAGGTGCACATTATGTTCACCTCCAAGTACGAGTGCACATTGGGAGAGAGTGATAGCGCGGGAGGTATGATCATGGTCGATAGCAATCCTGACGCAAAAACGGGCTTCGCCAAGGTCAGACATGGTCCATTTTGTGTTTTGAAGTCAGCGAGTACTGTTTTAGTGCTGCCAATGGTAAAGAATCGCCAATGTGGATCATGACAAGTAGGGTACTAGTATCGGTGTGTTGATAGTAAATACAGTGTTTGCATTTCAGGCGAGTAAAACCCCAGGATAGCATTGCTTGATTGATTGTTCGGTTCCAGAAGGCTTTCGAAACGAGTGGTCAATGATGTGAGGTCAGCACTGGTGCACGAAAGCAAGTCGATGGATGTTCACCTTCTGGGCTGTTGCAATAATTGGAGGTCCAGGGAATATTATAATATGCCTGTTAGCTAGAGTTACAGCTAGGCTCCGTAGTAATGATAATTAAAAGATCTGCAGCGAACTTTTAATTTATTATTTGAGTGCCATTGCAGCAACAGATATTATTAGTTGACTCACCAGCGTTCAAAACCATCAGGAGTGATGACACTACTACCTATGGTTATTCTAATAGGTTTGGGGTCAAGCACGATGACCGGCTGAGATTATAATGATAGGACTTAGACTTAGACCAAGTTCGAACCAGACACAATGATTTGATGATATTCAAACACCGATGGCAAATGCCAAAACCTTGTGAATATTTATAGAAAGGGTAGACAACAACTCGGAGGGGAAATACGAATATCAACTAAGCCTTACGGGAAGAACAGCGAGGAGGCACGTCTGAAGTCTTGTTCTTTTTTGGCCCCTTTTTCCGACCCTTGGTGTTATTATTATCTAATAACACCTCACTAGCAGCAGAAATGGACTCTCCTGTGATATCGATATGTTGTGGCACTATATTAGCGACTGGAATATCAGTAGGGGGGGGGATCTAGGAACAGGAGCGGTGGGTGACCCAGAAGATGTGCGTTGATCCACGATAAGCTTGGACAGTGAGGTCACAACAGTATGAGTGAGGTTCAGGGCAGGCATAACAACGACTGCTGCTGGTCCAGGAATATGAGCTGCAGATTCAGAATGGGAAATTGGTGCCGCGATATGGTTCTCATCATCTGATTCAGATGAATCGTCATCGTCTAAGCATGCCATGACCCAATCTAGTGAATCACTAAGATCCTTGCCAGTATCATTGACATTATGGCTAATGTCACGCGATGTCTCATCAACATCTTTGAAGATATAATTGTTCATATTCTTGACAATGTCTTGAACACGTGCGTGGTTCCATTGGGTGACGAAAAATCTCTTCACAGTTCGGAAGACAGTCAAGTAGGGGATTGATGACATAGTGCCGATGCCTGATCCCGGGAACTGCTGATCAGGAGACAAAATGAAAATAAGCTAGACAAAATTTAGTAATCAATTAACATCTAGATGGAGTATTCAGAACACACTGCGGTCACACCACACGCAATTAAACCAGGTGTACAACCTTTCAGCTTCCATAGTTTTGAGTAGGGGTTCAGGCCTCCGCTACGTCTGGACTTGGAATATATTGACATTTTCCCACTGATTGCGACCTTAATGAACTATGGATAAAGATAAGGAAGTGTCCCAGGAAGTATGTGGGATCCTACCTTAGTGATCATGAGCCAGTTTCCGAATACCTTCTTAGCATTGACCTTCAGGTTAGGGTAGATAATAGGTGCATTGAGTATGTTGAACTCCTTTCCCTTCCCTGCTACCCACCCAATCACATCTGTCATCTGCTGGACAGCTGCACAATCAAACAATGCGGCAAAATTTGGAGATGGCATGTCGAGGATGCTCCCAGCTACAGACCGTAATGTATAGATGTACGAGGAGCATACACACTGCATTCTGCTGCAAAACTAGTGCAGAACAGTCAGACCTGAGTTACATTGAGCAAGATAAAATAGACCTTATTGATGAAATGCGTAGTTGGCATGTAAGGGTGCAGTGTATGCTCAATGCATCCATAGAGCTCTGTGATGAGCGCTGCCTTCTCTGCCGACGTCTTGGCATAATGAGACGGACTTCGTATATTGACAGGAGGATCCGGACAGGGTGATTTGAAAATTGAATCATCGAGTATAAACATCTCAACAGTGAGTGCATATTTCTTTCCCAAGTCCATAAAGACTTTGTCCGAGGCTAGATCAGATTTGTCGGTTGCAGCGGTGGATGTCGTTGAAGTTGGGGCCGATGTCGTTGAAGTTGGAGTAGATATAGATGCATGGCCACGGACACCTTTACGAGAACGTTGTGGCTGTTGTGACTGGAGCACATTGTTTGTCGCATTTAGGCACACATTGTGATTCTCCAACTGACCCTTTTGAAGTTGAAGATACTTTACATACTGACATTAGTTAGCACAAGCGAAATCTAAGTCATGGAGTAAACTGGAATGTACCTTCTTGTAATGTTCAATAGTGGCGCCCTCACTTGGTGGGGCGACGACTCTGAACCCTTCATTTTCTGAATCTGATGAGAGAGAGTTCCTCGATTCAGAATCAGACAGGGAGTTGGAATCGGAGCCTGACATAATTGTAGTGCAATATTATGAGTACTGAGAATAAAACCTGATGTAGTGAAGGTAGTTGACACAGTGGGGACCTGAAGAGTTGATGGGGTATGCTTGAGAATTTAAAGGTTGGGGAATGCTAAGTCAACAAACTGAAATAATAACACGAGATCCTTAAGACATACCGATAGCTTGCATCCAAATGTAATATGATGGCTGTCAGTTAATATAACATCCATGTGTGAGACTGTGAGTTCTGAATCAGAGTGCTTGTTACTTCATCATACACTCCAAGGAACCTGTGGTTTTCATTAAACGTTTAACGACGTACCAATTGTTCACCCGGTGGTTATATTATGATGTAATTGGACGGCCTGCGACTCGGAGTATGACAATGATAAGACAAAAAAACACTTGCTCGATGATGTATTAATTACCTTTAGTCTAAGGTCCAGGTTCATTGTGATGTCACTCACTTCAAGCTTTGAGGGCTAAATAATAAACCGACATCATGGTATTGGATGGTCCAGGTCTGACACGTACTGTACACCACATAACTAGCCTATGACGCAAGACAGATTCACATAATGTAAACGCGAGAACAACAAGTAAAAATACGCGAGGCGAGTGAGACTATCAGCAATGACAACAATCCAAAGATATCTGTATGTCCATTATGTATCAGCACACCGGCGAGTAGCAATCCTATTTGCCCTTGCCCTTGCTTTGGCCCTTGGCGCCCCTGTGCTTTCCCCTCGACTTAGACTTGGACTTACCAGCATCGTATTGCAGGTCATCGTTTTGTGCACTGGAAGTACCAGGTTGCACAGAGTTGTTGCTGACTGTAGCATTTGGTCCAGCGTCAGTGCAAGAGCGAGTGTTTGAAGATGATGGTTCATTGTCGTTGGAATCTGGGTGTTCCACGTGCTTTACACCTCTGGCAGACTTTGCGTACCATGCCAGGTAACAAGAGTGGGCCGTAATTCCTGACGCCCCCATTAAGGAGTTGTACATACGGTCCCAAGCAAAAGGGAAGGTGATAGGAGATTCTTCTAAAGGTGTGAGGTCGCACGCTTGGTTTACCTCTCTGCAGAGGGAACCCAACTTGTTTTTCAGCAAGCGTAGACCCTGGTTGATCATAGCGTTTACGGCGTCCATGTGTGGGTCAGGGTACAGTCTCTGTAAAAGATTAGTTAATACTATGCTGAGACAACAAAGGAATACTTACACCATGAGCCATGCGCAGCCCAGTCACAAGGTTGATATTGATGGGACTATCTCCTCTCACCCATACCCAAACATCTATAGTCTGGAGACCCAACCACTGGTGACCGAGTATGGTGATGGGATCTGTGGGCTTCGAATCCAAGGGTTGGAGGTCAAGGAAGGAGCTAAGTTCGCGAGCCGGCGTTTCTTGCAATAGGGTATCCCATGCAGTAGACGAGCGTTCAGGTAAATGGTATGGTTTGGTCTCTCCTATGAGGGTCGCAATGACCATGAGTACTTCAGGCTTGGCACGAATTTGCTTCCAAAGTTTATTCATCAGCAGATTCATTTGCTGAGAGAATGTGGTTTTTATGAGAACAGGGATGGCCTCCTTGAGAGATCTGTGAGGGTTCCCTACGATGACAGACAGTGTCATATCCGGGATGGTGGAGAGCTCCTCCGTTTTAACCTCGGCATTCATGAAGACAATTGTGTCAATGAGGGTGCAGTCGAAATCCAGAGAGTCCAGGAACCAGTCAAACCACGTCTTGAATACTGTGCATGGGACTTCATGTATATGAGTTGGCATTTCGACAAGAAGATGGCAGTTAATGTAATCGTAAGTGAATCTATAGACAACCGATTGTGATATAGACAGCGAACCCGTGTGATAAAACATACCTTGGTTTCTGTTTGGTCGTTTAGATCTGATCAACGATGCGCTGTAGAAACAACAATACAGAGAGGAACAAATGAGGCTCCTAACTGTATCTAAAAATGTTGAAGGTCGCGCATTGCCTAGTCTGCATTACTTGAGGAGACAAGTGCATTCGACCCTAAAGGGGAAGTGAGTGCAGCGAAGATCTAGAGGTACGTGCTGAAGCAAGGCACGACCTTCAACATTTTTAGATACAGTTAGGAGCCTCATTTGTTCCTCCCTGTATTGTTGTTTCTACAACTGGAGCCCACCGCGAGGGGAGCAGTCAGCAAGATCTAGTTTTGCGCATTTCGCACATATAGGTAAATCTCTTTGCATTATCACAAGTTAACCATTTTCTAGTCACGCATTCTTGCGCCTTGCACGCGCGCAATATTCCCACGCCTGTGCGCCTCGCGTGCGCACCTTTCACGCACTTCAAATGCCTTATAGAATACCTATCTGTGGCACAGCAAACACGCCCAAGTTCAATGGTACTACAGACAACCTCGCCGAATTTATTGATGCATATGAGCAGCTCGCTGATGAAGCAGGACTCCAAGGACTCGATCACATCAAAGGTATTATCCACTACCTTGAGCGCGATGATCGCGAACTATGGGGAGGAATGCCTGAGGCGCAAGTGAGCGATTACGACGCCTTCTTAGACGAGGTGAAGGTAATGTATCCTGGATGGGATGGTAAAAGACACTATGCGCTCGCAGACTTGCGTGCCATCGCGCGCGAATACACTAACAAGCCGATGCCCTCCTGCACGGAACTAAGCAATTACTTGCGCGCATTCAGGAAGGTTATGCAGCCACTTATAGATGAAGACCGTATTGGAAAGGCTGAACGCGACCGCTTATTCATGGAAGGAATCCCTAGCGATGCTCAGGTGCAAATTCACTTGCGCCTTATGATCAAGTTCCCCGACCACCATCCATATGACCCATATCCATTTATGGACGTCTTCGCAGCTGCGCAGTTCCTATTACCTGCGCGCGCTTTTCCCGCGCCAAGCGCGCCAGTAAGTGCACCAGTTAGCGCACCCATGGTAGCGCCAAGCATGCCAGTTAGTGCACCAGTGGCTAAGTGCCAAGATCGCTACTACACGAGCCACGCAACCCAGGATACGACCATTAGTGCTAATGCGACAGCTGGACTCTTCTATCACACACCCTCAGAAGTTGCACTTGACAAAAGGCCACCAGTTCCAATTCTTGCGCCTCACGCGCGCGCTGTTCCCGCGCCTACGCGCGATTCACACGCACCTCAACCATCAACTACGCCAGCATACAAAGCCATACCAGAACGCACTGCTTTAGATCACGAACTCGAGCGCGCGCTCGCAAAGCGCAACCAGAAGTGCACTGCAGGCGCCTCTTCACCATCATCCTCATCAGCACCATCTCCTTCACAATCCGCATCATCATCACCATCAATTGCATCGCCAGAAGTCAGGGATGACTCTAAACATCTATTGCACACTAACACATCGCTTGAAACGCGCATGCCTATCACTATCGCATCGCGCGCGCCTACTGCTATTGAATCACCAGAAGTCAGGGATGACTTTAAACATCTATTGCACACTAACGCTCCATCGCTTGAAACACGCTCGCCTATCGCATCACTTAAGGAAGAAACCTCGCCAATTGCACCATTGCCATCACCGCTATCACCACTTGCATCATCAGAGGTCAGGGATGACCCTAAATATCTATTGCGCCTTAGCGCGCCTATAGAGGAGCCTCCTACCGCATCAAAGGCTCAAGTTGCACCTTGCATCAACCAGAGTTTGCCTCTGGTAACTCCACCTGTCACTAACGATCACGTGTGCATCGCACTTTTTGCTTCCAGTGACTATCACATGCCGGTAAAGCATCCGTGCATCACGCTGCCCAACCACCAAGCAGAGCTTGTCTCAGGCGACCCTGGGGTGACTCAGGCGCACCATATTGCGCCTGAGGACGCGCAATGCGCGCGCCTAGAGGCATTGTATATTTTTCCTCATCTTGTTTCGCGTTTTCTGTCTCTTTCATGTTTAAAGCTCTTAAGGAGCTATATGACGCTTCCAATCACTTTAACTTCATCTTCGCATCACCCCTTGTTCACGCGCCATGATCGCACACATCGCACAATACGTGCGCGTGTTCCTGCACCTCGCGCATTCATAATTTTAGCAGAGTTTTCAGAATACCACATTTCAATCGCTTCTCCCCCTTTAAATCTCATTTCTCTCATTCAACACAACATATATTCTAATCAGCCATCCAGGCGCGACCTAGGCGCGCGCCTGACACATACATTTGCGCCTAATTTTACACTACATACATCTCTCGCTAACGTATTCACAGAGAAATGGCCGTTCCTCGCGTGTTCGGCCAATATAATCAAATTCGCGCGAAATCGCCTCAAGGCGCGCACATCGCGCGCATCCTACCAACTTGTAGAGCGCCTCTACACCCCTCGCAGCGCCTCCAACTGGCGCGCCTTCAACCTGCAGCGCGTTGTGCAGGAATTCATTCTGCCAGTTACAAGCCCCCCCCCCCAAGCGCACCAGCCTTGCGCATTCCAACCCTACCTTGGGTAAAGCGTCAGCTCGCAAGAGACACGAAGCACGCTAGTCATGCGCACTCGCACGTGCTCAAGGAGGAGGATCGAGCGCTTCAGCTGCGCATCAAGAAAAGCACATAGCAACACTGTTTCATAGGATACCATTTGTTTTACCCTGGGTTTCATCCAGTGCTCTTCCATTTTCATTTTCTCTCACTATAACACCGTCCTAAGGACTAATAACTCACTGATATATATGCATATAGGGATTGCCTAGAAGAATATACATATACGAGAAAACAACCTTAGATTGTGCCTGCCTAGCTCAATAGTATTATTTTCTCTTGCACGCATGACGCGGCACCATGCTCCTTTTTACCTTAGAACGCACACTATGCGGGCAAGATTCACGTGCCCATATGCCTCACGCGCACGCGCATGCGCGCTTCCCGCGCCTCGCTCATAGGAAGGTGTAGACATTGACAGCTGCACGAAGAAGACAAGTCGGATAGGACATCCGCAAAGTTACTGTTTTTTCCTTCGCATTTTCACATATAGTTTTACTCACACTGTTCAAACCTTACCACCTAATATTTAGCGTGCCTAGCAGGACTTGGTTTGGACTTGGATTGGATCGCTCTTGGACCGCACCACTTCGTATCATACACACAATACAACACACGCAACACTCACGCGCTTTCCCACGCTTCACGCAGTACATGTGCATCTCGCTCATGCTTTGTGCGCCACATCCATATCACCCTTGCATCATCGCCCCACACCCATGGCGCACTATTCACACCAGAGTCACCCTCGCAATCCACCATGCTACGCTTCATTCCTGCGCCTTCATGCCTAGCGCATGCACATTCTCACGCCATGCGCGCAAATTCCCGCACTTCACACATACCATTCCTATGCTCGCACATTCATCGCCCAACAACCAAAGCATCATACAAGCATCGCACTTGCATACTCTCACGCAAAATCCTCACCACACACGCGCTGAGTGGCGACACTCAGAATTTAAAGTCCCTGGGAGATGTAGAGACTCGTGTGTCTCATGGTCTGATATGACAAGTTTTCACTAAGGAGTACATAGCACGAACTTGTAGCATCACTCCGTGCGCTACCGCAGCTATCCCTATATGAGGCACAGCTTTCCCACGCAATGTGCGCCATGCGCGCACTCTTCCCACGCTTTGCGATGTATATGCGCGCGCGTTCCCGCGCTTGAGCACCCTATAGCGCCAGCCATCCAGAAGCATCCATCCACTGTCCACCAAGCTCCCTAGTGCGTATATTTCCATTTCCTTTATTAGCATATTGTTCTGTCTTTATTTTTATCATGGATTCTCACTCATATATATCTTTACATACCTACTCGGTAGCGCTTTGGCTCCGCATTACAGCGCTTAGGCGCGCTATATAAGCGCCAGCAGTACATAGTACTAGACACTGGACATTTTTACCACTTACTTTTCCTTCAACTGACTACTTACTACTCACTTACCACTTAGCAGAATATAGTAGAAATCTATTTGTTTACACTTCTGATCACTCTTCTCTTACCTTGTATCATATCATCACTTAAGTTGAGTCTCTCTTATTTCCGCATATGCACGTGTGCTTTCTCGCGCTTCGCTTTGGCGCACACCTCTAGATCCTTGCTGCACTCACTTCCCCTTTAGGGTCGAACACGCTTGTCATCTCAAGCATAGCAGACTAGGCAAATGCACGACCTTCAACATTTATAGATACAGTCTGGAGCATCATTTGTTCCTCTCAGTATTGTTGTTTCTACAGTGTGATATTGTCTCAAAATCTTCTGGATGAATATCTGAGAACTCCTGATATCATTGTTAGGTCCCGGCATTGTCCATCAGTCTTATCTAAACATACTTCGACCTCTTTCTCAGAGTTTGCTATAAACTCAAGCACCGACTTGCATGGACCTGAAAGGTTACTGGAATGTCAGGTTTGATCGACAGATTTAGTTGAATCATTAAATAATACCTGTGATAGGTATGTCACTGTTAGCTATTTCACACAGAATGTTGTCTGAATAATAATCCAATCACGATGGGATGTTAGCAGATTCAGAGGGAGTTGTTGGAATGTTTTTGTTTCCCAGGATTTCTGGTGAGGCCTTGATGTTGGGCTGGATTGCAAAGCCACTCTTTGCCACTGGATCTTCCCTCCTTCTGCCAGTAAATGGTGATGCTGGTGATGATGCTCCCTTTGTCCGAATCAAAGTCTTGGGCCTGACACTCTTCTTGGGCTCTTGGCAAGAGGAACTTCAACCTGTACTTCTGCTGAGAAACACAGGAGATGTGTTGACAACGACTGTGGTTGGGATGATGCTATCGGACGGAATGAAGTCAAGAACCCCACAGCATGGCCTCATGGCTTATTGAGTCATAATAATGTTGACATAATCTTTACTCTTATTAGTAAGCTATTTACTGAATTTTTAATCATTGACATCATAGTAAATTCACATTGAACAGTCTAAGAGCTATGATATCTAACTTATTGGTATCAAATACTGACAAAAGAAACAAAGGAATTCAAATTGTAGGATGAGAAACATTTTTATAACACTGGAGCTTCCAACAAATGTTTCATAAGACCAGCACAAGCTTGAGCAGAACATTCTATTAGAGATGTGATGAGGTAGATTGTCACGCTGATAGTATCAATCACTTACTGTCAAGGCTAGACATTCAAATTAGTTAACACAATGGGCTTGTAGTGACTTCATTCGGAGGAAGATGTCGGTATTGATGGTGTCTACAATGAAATAATCCCCAGCTGTAGCAGGGTCACTGGCAAGCACAGCACCTCGAATAATGGACTCGACGGAAATGAGTTCCGGAGATGCGTGAGGTTTGGCTCGCACACGATACAGCCCCAAATCTATGTCCTGCCTATGGTGATGACCAATGGCAACATCATAGGGATGAATAAGGGCGAAAGAAAGGACGATCTTGCCGATTGAGCAGCGAAACAAGAAAATGAGACACACAAAAAAAGGCTGGTCTTGGGCCTTCACCATGACACAATCATACCTTGGTGATCCAAAGAAAGATGGGTTGCATCGAAGGAGATCTCGTTTTAGATGCCAGTCAACCATAGATTCATAATTCACCCATAAGTATTGAAATACTGTGACCTGCCAAAAGGATGTTACATTGTAATGTTTGAATGGTTGGATGGAATAGCTAAATCGTTACCTGGTCATCAGGTCGAAAATGCACATGCCTCCCATCTGGGAAGGGAATTTCAAATCGAGGCAGGAACTCGTTCAAGAACCTGTTCAGCCTGATTTGAAATCCGGAAAAGGCTGTATCTGCTGCATGCTCCTGCTCGATCTGAGAGAAAGACTGACTGCCTTGCCTCGCACCCAAATATGTATGTGTTGCAACTTCTTTGATCTCTTCACCTGCTTCAGGGTCAACAACTTGCTGGCGTGTATACTCATCCAGGTCATCGATCTCAGAACGCATAGATGTCAATGTCAGCAGCCAATGGTCATAGTGAATGATCTATGATTCATATCAGTGAATCACGGCATTGAGCAAAATGTTATTTACAGACCTGGGTAGCAACATTTTTGAAATTTGTCCATCGGAGGTATATCGCACATAACGGGCCATGCATCCTTTCATTTGGCTTCGTGTTGTAGTTTCGAGTGGCGCCTTTTGCTAGGATGTCATTGAACACATGCACATTTGAGTGCTTTTTTGGAAAGTTCCAATTCTTCCCAGTTTCTGGCTCTGATTTTGTAATGTATTCCTAGTAATGATTCATCGACACATCAGCCAGAAAATATTGTTCACAAGAACTTACGTCCAGCAGTGTCGAGAATTCACACAAAGTTTCCCTTCCGGCTGCGATGGTATCCTCTGTGTGAACCTCCAATGCTGCATACATGTCGAACATGACAAAGTGACGTATGCATCATAAGAGCAGGTAGCCAAGTTTGCTTTCAGTCCGTGTAAGGATGTTCTGTGCTGTGAATACTACCAACTGGTATGACTTTAGCAATGCGAAGTTCGAAATTCCAGAAGACTAACATACCTTTGATATATCTTCATGAGTTGCGCTATCAGTAAAGTCTATTTTCATCACACATGAGAAGTGCTGCAAGTCAGGCCATCTCAGGAAAGCGTCAAAGCTAAATTCAAAACCAATTTAGTACAAAGTGTAGTGCAGTGAATAACAAGATGAACTTTGAATCAATCTGAACAGCCGCTTCTCGACCTAGATCCGTGATCCAAAACTGAAGCTCCACCCACAAATGGTTGCTCCATAACCCGCCATTGTTGGCATGCATGCAATCCCATGAGAGCGCGCGATGGATATCACAATGATGAACTTTCCAAAAAATGTTCTGTAGGGCTTGGTGTCAGTAAATTCGCAAGTTGAAAAAACTAACTTACTTCAACATTGCGCAGCGAGAATGCTTTTAGGTGATTCTCTCTGGCCTTTTTTGTCTTGGCCAATCTTGCAGTTTTCAGCACTTGTGCGTAGTGTTAGTTCCTCTGTGTAGATAGACTGCATATCTTGGGGGACCAGACAAACTGGACAAGGGAATTTGCCTTTCAATCCACAAATTAAGGACATGATACATCTGCATGATACATGAGAGACTTCATTACAGCGTGTAAAGAAACACATGGTACTCACTGTTCCTCATAGTCAGCACTGAGGATCAATATTATTGGCCAAAGAAGGCGTCGTATCAGGTCCCCACAGTCGAACCAATAACCAGTCTTCGAATGCTGTATGGCCGACTCTATAAGCTGCAAAAACGACTCATGCCAAACCGCATTCTTGAAATTCACAAAACTTGCTTTTCCACTATCCTTTTGATTTTTGTTGACCTAATGAAATTGTTCATAACTCGACGTTTAAGGTCAAACAAGTGCGAGATTCATATTAGACACTTACAATTGGCAGCCAACCCACGACTCGACTGCCAGCCACACCAACACCATTCCAGATTTCAATGGGCAAATTCGCAATTCGTGCTATAATCAGATAGCCCTTTTGAGTTCCAAAAGATGACAACTTATTTTTATCGGCATAAAGAATGAATGCGAGTGGCTTAGCATCTGGTAGAAGTCACAACTAATATAACAATTGAAATACAATGTATTAATGATAGTCGAAAGGTCAAGGTAGGTACATACTTGAGCATCCCAAAATGTGTTGGCAGTCCAGGGCTCATTGAAGAAGCATGTGAAGCGGGCTCCATTGTACTTGTACAAACGTTGGGCATCAAATACAAAATGCTTCGCGAAGCGACTGTCTCACAGCAGGTCTAGTGCCCAGTCCCAAAGAGGTCGGGAGTACATATTAAAATCATGAACTTCACTTCGGTATTTCACAGATACTACACTGCTCTGAAACTACGCTTGTGAAAATGATGTTGATGAGCCTGGACATAATGCGTCGTTAGAAACACTCACTGGTGTGAACCGTTTGGAAGCCATCTCCCAAAACGAATGGACTTCATCATGACTTTGCAATGTGAAAGCCTCTTTACCACATGCAGAGCGGTGCAGGAGGTTAAAGAGCCGGTTGGTTTGGTCCTTTGTCATTACTGCCTCAAGCGCTATCTCTGCAACCTCAAAGTCCAGTCGCATTCGGAAAGGTTCCCACAGAGAAGTGCTACGAGGCACAGAATCTTCCATAGAACGGTGATGGGAAAAGTCTACAAAACGATGGATGGTTGAGGGTATCTTACTGTGTGGGTGATATTCCACTTTAATATCATCTTGTCGAGGTTGCAGTTCCACTGCTTCGGGGTCAAGGGCGGGATCAAAATCAGCACCATCTAAGTGAGGGGACCCCGGATTGAAATCCACTGATTGGTGACTGCGGGGTGATGATCCATGCATTTCTGATGTACATGTCAGAAACTCATAAACTTTAGTAGTAACCTGGGAACATACTAATGTCTTCCGAGACATTGTCCCCACCAGCAGCAGATGGTCCATCACATACGGTCCATATTGAAATCGAATCAACTGCTAACCGTCAGAAAAGTCAACATATAATTGTCGAAGTTGTTGTGAGCTTACCTGGCATGGGTTTGTTAGATTGGCGAGACTTTTTGTGGCGATCTGCATATTGATAAGATGACATAGATCAATTGCTCCAAAGAAGTAGTACTCACGCGTCTTTGCACTTTCCTGAAGGATCTCAGTGAGCTCGGTGTAGAGACTCGTGTGTCTCATGGTTTGATATGACAGCTTTACACTAGGAAGTACATAGCATGAACTTGTAGTGTCACTCTGTGCGCTACCCGCAGCTATCTCTATATGAGGCGCAGCTTTCCCGCGCAACGCGCGCCATGCGCGCACCATTCCCGCGCTTCATGATGTATGCACGCGCGCGCGTTCCCGCGCTTGCGCACCCTATAGCGCCAGCCATTCAGATGCATCCATCCACTGTCCACCAAGCTCCCTAGTACGTATATTTCCATTTCCTTTATTAGCATAGTTCCACCTTTATTTTTATCATAGTTTCTCACTCATATATATTTTTACATACCTACTCGGTAGTGCTTCGGCTCCGCATGACCGCGCTTAGGCGCGCTATATAAGCGCCAGCAGTACATACTACACTTACCTTTCACACCTTACTTTTCACCCAACTTTACCTAGTACTTACTACTTAGAAAGTCGCAGTAGAAATCTATTCATTAGCACAACACATCTCACATCCTTTATCTTGCTTATATCTTCACATAAGTTTAGTCTCTCTTATTTCCGCTTACATGCGCGCGCTTTCCTGCGCTTCGCGCTAATACGCGCGCGTGTTCCCGCGCCTTCGTACCTTGCGCGCACCTGCGCTTTCTTGCGCTTCGCTGAAGCGCGTACCTCTAGATCTCCGCTGCACTCGCTTCCCCTTTAGGGTCGAACGCACTTGCCATCTCAAGTATCGCAGACTAGGCAACGCACGACCTACAACTTTTTAGATACAGTCAGGAGCATTTCTTTGTTCCTCTCAGTATTGTTGTTTCTACATCGGCCTGTTCTATCCTCAACCTTTCCTGTTTTTCGCACATCCTCATATGCGAGACTAGCCCACAAGCTTGAATCATGGTACCACATATGTCGCATAAAACTTCTTCTGAGGAACGTTGTGAGTCCTTTGGCATCTTTGAAGCATACAATAAACAAAGCACATATTGCACAAATATGAGATACAAGGCTTAACAGCGACGATTTGGAGTTCAACGTTCAATATAATGCTTAATCCGAGATTGAGATAGCATCATGATGTAATTAAAACTCAGCTAAGGCATGTCTAAATCTGATTCTGATCACAGTGATAATGCGCACTTGGTTGCATTAAAATATGTTGGCATTTTGATGCCGCTAGGAAATTTCCGACATTAAAGAGAATTAAATTGTTCTTGTACTCATCATTCCGAGTTTGCATCAAAACTTTGGTCATACATTGAACTTTTGTGCCTTGAGGTTTCACTTCTGAATGAGTTCGTTGGAAGTGCATCTCACTGGTCTTAGCCAAGCAGTCAATAGATACAACAGAATCTAAATCTGTCTGTGTGTGTTCAAAACCTACCAAATGTTGAATAGCCAAGTGATCGCCAGAGTCAAAATCTGTTTCTCTTGGACCGTACAGGTTTGAAACCTGCCAAGGATAATTCTCATTTTCTATAAAAATGCACCTTGATATATGCTCATGGTTGGTTTACTCAAAAGCTCATCAGAGTTATGTTTAGCCAAGTGGTTGTCATCTTTTACCTTGAACCACTTGTCTTGCTAAAGCTACCTGCTCGATGTCCGACCTGCACCTTCAGAAGGACTCGAGACCCCTTCTGTCTGTAACTGCCACCATCACTAGCAACCGCTGAAGGTACAACAATTCAGATGGTGAGTCTGAACAATGTTGGGTCTTGCAGAACCTAGCTGCTATTCGACCCTAAAGGGTTTCTGGACCAGGCTCAAGGCTCAGAGTAGAGGAAATATCATAAAAACTTCTGAGCACTCAGACTCATACTGGTAACTGGTGAAAAGATAACTTGCTTATGTAAGCTACAAAGTGCCAACATAAGGTAAGGTAAAAACAGTCTCTACAATCCCAGCCAGAAATGAATCCCTACACCGCTAAGCGTACACAACTCTTGCTTGTTTGTAAGAGCCGACCTTGGACTCTCAGCACAAGGTATCACCATCGTGATTGTCGCTGTTAGATTCATCCCAGTTCGCACACGATGACGTACTGTTGTCGTAACAGTGACAGTCAATGAACTATACTATTACTCCCACTGTGCACATTCTGCTCAATCCTATCAATCGCATCAGAGAGCTCATGCTTCAGTCCTGGTAGGAGCGTAACCTTGGTGCATCTGAGGGGGCCATCATCAATCTCAATATCCTCCTCCTCCTGGTCATCTTCTTCATTGTTGTTGTTGTTGTTGTTGCCCTGTTCTGCTTCAATGTCGATATATGGATTCTTATGCTAGAGTTAATTAGGGTCAATTCTAACTTGTAAACTGACAGCTTACTGTGTAAGAATGATGCTGACGAGTGCATAATCCAGATGCTGAACTTAATTGAGAGTTAATTGATCCAGTTGGTGTGGCTGAGACATGCTTATGCTTCATGGCAAGGAGATTGGCTAATGAAATTTTGTCATTACCATCGCCAGAGAACAATGTGAGTCTGGCTTCCATCCAATTGAGAAGGCAGTGACAATTGCCAAGGTATGCATAAAAATCTTCTTCCATCTGACCATAAGTCAGATCTGTCATTAGAAACTGGTCTAGAATCTCCCAAGTGGTGGGATCCTGCAAGGGCAATGGTGCTGGCACCCCAAAGGTATGAATGAAAATAATGCCTGAAATATCCAAGAGTCACATACCCTTGAATCTAACGTGTTTGGTGTTCTGCTCTGGCTCAGTTGGCACAGGGCATTTGGACATGATCTAATGCTTGATTATTAACAACTATTGTTGGACTTAATGAAACAGCTATGTACTTGTGAATTAAACTAAGCTATCACTAGGGTTATTGTACACAATGTGATGAGGGAGAAAAAAAACCTACAAATGCAGAGGTTAGCCTTATATAGGGATCAGCAATGATATGCTTACCAATAATTGTGGCCACAGACCACAGCAACTTTGAATTGTTGTGTGGTTAGGGCATTGTATGATGCATATGGATAGGTAGTATTGTGGAGACAGACCAAATGGACTCTAGATTATCATGACCCAAGTTTTGTGTGACACATATAGTAGGTAGTATTGTGGAGACAGACCACAGGGACTCTAGATTAATGTGACCTGAATATTGTGTGTCATGTATAGTAATTAGTAGTGCTATGGCTTGGCTACAGCTGGCTCCGGCTCGGTATTTACCGGTTTGCAAGAAGTTAGGCAATACCCATTAGCTAAACCACCAGTCACTGACTTGATTCAATTTATTAGCCATGTGAACCAGCTACAACTTCCTTAAGCCAAAAATTTATGAACCACGGCTTGAACTGCTTTAAGCCAGCTCAAACCAGCTCAAGCCACATGGCAGTTGCATAGAAGGATAGCTTTTTTTGTTGCCTCCAGACTCCAGTGTTGTTGGTCGGATTCCCTTGATTTCTCTACTCGTGGGCTATTGTATACACTATGGATAAGGTTCCCATTTGAGTTGATGGAAGATTCAGGCTAGGAGACATTTTGGGATCCGGTGTAGAAACAACAATACTGCGAGGCGCGAACAAGGCTCCTGGCTGTATCTATAAATGTTGTAGGTCGCGCATTGCCTAGTCTGCTATTCTTGAGACGACAAGTGTGTTCGACCCTCAAGGGGAAGCGAGTGCAGTAAGGATCTAGTGATATGCGCTGAAGGCACTACTGGTTGGCCAATGTGAAGCATGAGAAAGCACGCAGGTGCATGCAAGGCACAAAGGCGTGTGAATGCATGTGTGTGCTGCACGAAGCATGGGAAAGTGTGCGTGTGTATGCGGAAGTGAGAAAGAGTAAGCTTAAGTGATGATTAGATGCAAGATCAGAGATGTGGGAGTGCCAGATGTAAAGGAATTGATTTCTACTGCTACTTTCTAGGTAGTAAGTCATAGGTAAAGTTAGAGGTGAAGTAAGGTAAAAGTGAAGTTCCCCCCTTCCTAGTATGTACTGCTGGCGCTTATATAGTGCGCCTAAGCGCTGTCATGCAGAGCCAAAGCACTACTGAGTAGGTATGTAGAGATATATATAAGTAAGGGTCCATGATAAAAATAAGGTGGAACAATATGCAAATGAGAGAAACAGAAATATACACACTAGAGAACTTGGAGGACAGTGGATGGATGCATCTGGATGGCTGGCGTCATAGGGTGCTCAAGTGCGGGAAAGCGTGAGCGCATATACATTGCGAAGTGCGGGAATGGTGCGCACATGGCGCGCGTTGCACGGGAAAGCTGCACCTCATATAGGGATAGCTGTGGGTAGCGCACAGAGTGATGCTACAAGTTCGTGCTATGTACTCCCTAGTGAAAACTGTCATATCAGACCATGAGACACATGAGTCTCTACACCGGCTCATATGGTATGTTATTTACATATCACGATTACTGACTATATGTTGAATTCGACATTTGGACCCCATTAGTTGTCATGTATCGCGCACGGAACATCATAAAGAATGATGCAGTTGCCGTCAAACTTGAAACCATCACCCATTCATCATCTGTCCAGCATGAATACAACATTTTGAAACACCTTGAAGGTGGCATTGGTATTCCTTGTGCCCTCTGGTTCGGTAGGGAGTCAACATATCATGCTCTCATTCTTGATCTCCTTGGGCCATCCCTGCACAGTCTCTTCCTTTCTCACAGCCAAAAATTCAGCCTTGAGACTGTCATAAATCTAGGAGATCAGCTGGTCAGTCAGTGTGTGCTACTGTGTAGGTTGCATGTACTGACCCCTTTCCCCAGCTTTCATGTCTCAAATATGTTCACTCGCACAATTATATTCATGGTGAAATCAAACCACAGAACATTGTTCTGGGTCTTGGCAATACAAGGCACACCACCTTCATTATTGATTTTAGTATCACAAAGGAATTCTGGAATATGTCAACTAGTGTCCATATACTGTTTCACCAAGGTCAATGTCTCACTGGCACTCCTACATTTGAATCAATCAACAATCACTTGGGATTTGAACCAGGTCGTTGTGATGACCTCAAGTCACCTACATACATGTTGATATACTTCTTTCAGGGCTCCCTTCCTTGGTTAACCAGTGACCAAGAGAAACTTTCCAGTTCTTCCATACTCAAGTGCAAAGTGAACACTACTATTGAAGATCTATGCTATGGAATTCCTGTCGAATTTGCAACAATACTCATTTACACGCGCTCTCTCGCATTTTCAGAGGATCCCAACTACAATCACCTTCATTCATTGCTTTGTACACTTCATTCTACACTACCCGCACCAGCTGCATGCTTGCTGGATATAAACCAGCCTGGTGTACCTATCACACATTCCCCTTCCCCTCCATTCTTCAATAAACCCTGTGTAATTGAGGCAGTGCCTCCATGCCTGCCACTTCACAGATCAACTTGTGTGTGAGTAGTTCATTTATCTTAGTACTTATGAACTAATGTGATTTTAAATTTGCATCCACAAAATGACTCCCTGTTGCATCATGCACCCACTTCAACTCCACGCTGGAAAAAAGCTAGATCATGATATTGATATTTGCAAATTTCTTCCACTTCTACGCAGCACCTCTTATCTTTCAACATCCCCTGCAGGCTGCAGGCTATAGCCTTGAAATGACCTTTGCAGCTTGCAAGGGACTCATTGTGACTTCCAGAACCATCATAATCGGTAATTCAGCCATACAACATAATGACATGACTTAGGAAGTGCTTATTGATGGAGATCTAGCTTTGATGCCATAGATCATTCAACTACACCTGAGGGTGAAGATGTGCTTGACTTTAAGCCTTTGGGCCCTCTGGAGTCTGGAGTTTCAAGTTGGAGTTGATTCTCTCTAGGTATGCACAATTGTGCAAAAAAATTTCACCCCCCACTGACTGCTGAATAGATTTGACCTGCCTGAAGCATGCATGAGTTGCAGAGTCTGCCTCATGACAATTGCCCTTGAGGCTTTTCCATCAGGGTCTCAGGATTACTGCATATCGACATGTTCTGGGATTTCCCCAGATGCCATTATATATGTATGCCAATAATTCTGCTGTTGGATCATCTCCACTACCACCACCATTAACATGCCCCCTCAACAGAAGAACACCTAGGCTACTGCCAGAGCTGCTGTCATTATTTCCACTGTTATTCCCATTCCTCCCACTTCTGTTATTACTGCTCCCATCTCTCCCGCTCCTGTCACTGTCTCTGTTACTCCCACTGCCAGTCCTGGTCCAACTGCTGCTGCAGCGAATGTGAATATCCTTCATAACCTTCAAAGACATTGTCACCTTCCTGCTCAATTTCAAGACAATGATGCAGATGAAGGGGAATCCTTCCACCTTGAGAATGTCTCTGGGGATGATGGGGACAAAATTGTCAACTTGCCTACACCTGCAGTTAGGCCTACTGCAGGCCATAGTCCATTGCAGACTGAAATGAATACCACTACCACTGACCCTCTGGCCACTAGTGGCTGAGCAAAAGTGCCAAAATCCTCTGCCGATATTCATTTCTTCTTCAGACAGGACCCTATCACTCTTTCAAATATCTGCAAAGCCTGTGAGTGAGTATCATGTTTAGTGTTATCATTCTCTCTAACATCCTTCACCAGAGCAATCCATAATCTTGACGATACTCACCACATTATGTCATACCTTCTTAGCATAGGCACTTCAGCTTATCGTGCACACACCTTCACTGACCATATTGACATTTACTTGGAGGAGGCAGAGCATCAGCACTAGCATGTCCTCCATAAGTCATCATGTTTGAAGACATTTTTGGATGAAGGCTGGACAGTCGCGACCATATGTCAAAGGCTGAAGGATCCAGCTTACACATTAGACTCACTTGTTACTCCCCCTAGTCCTGGCTCACTCCCCAGAAATAGCCTGTCAGCTCCAGACAATATATTGCCTACATTTAATCTGGACAAAATGCATAACCAAATCATAAAATTCATTGTTGCCGACAATCAGGTGAGTCAATGTACACTTTCTACACACTATGTTTATTAACTGTCTTCAGGCAATAAATATTATTGAATGTCTGGAATTTCGTTATTTGATCCATCTTCTGCAGTCATCGGTGAACAAGACCAATATATATCACCATACCAAAGTTCGTGAGTTAGTCATCGACACTTCTATGAATACTTCAATGCTTTGAAGAAGGACCTCATGGTAAGCCTATAGTTGTGAAGGGCCTTACAAAATATCTTATATCATTTAGGCTGCCCAGAGAAAGGTCTCGTTCACATCTAACCTCTGGTCAGATTCTAACCTTTGCCCATTCATGGCCATTACTGCCCACTGGATTGCTAAGGCCAAGCAGAGTTCAGTACTCATTTTGAGGGCTGCATTAATAGGCTTCCATTATGTTTCAGGCAGTCACACAGGTGACTTGCTAGCAACAGTCATCTTACACCTTCTTGATTGTGCTGCTGTGATCAAAAAGGTCAGTGTTTAATTTTACCATGTAACACACTCTGACTCTGTTTAGACTGGTCATTTTACCTTGGACAATGCTGCCAACAATCAGGTTTCCATGCAAGAGCTTTTTCAAAAGCTGGAGTGTCATGAAATTGATGTTGACCCCATTGACCTATGGAAGCCCGGACACTCATGCTCACTTTCTCACGTAGGATTACTGTCTATGGAAATCGGACCTCGAGCACCGCACTTTTGTATTTGTCCATATTGACTACTGCATACCTATTTGATGACATCGACGAAGCAGTTCTTATCGAACTAACATCTGCTTGCTTACCAAATTTGTACATCATACAACATGGCACTTTTTCCTTGAGTGGTGACGTCACTCAAGGAAAAAGTGCCACGTTTTTCATCATGTGACTGTGGGGCCTGCAAAAACCAGACAAGTCTACTAAATCTTTGACTTTACCTTCGACCTTCGTCATGGACGAGTAAATGCCTCCACCACCAGATATCGACGTATACCCACCCCCACCCCTCTAGTGATCAGAGGCGAGCGGGCACACGGGAGATGAGCTAGGAAGAGAATATATCTATGGGTATGTTTAGCTCTTGTGTGATAACAAAGGGGGAACATAAGCTTACATCTCAGTCTCATTTAGAAGGACTGAGATGCTCAAATGAACGGTACGTAGTTAGCATAGTGATAGGAAATTTTACGTAGTGTAGGAGTTTGACAGATAATATTATCGGGTTGATGACTGACGTCAATGATGTCAGTTGACTGCGCTCACAAGGTCTCACTCTGACATTTCAGACGTCTCGCGTCCGGACTTTGATCCCTCCTCCAATAACCCCCACCCCTACCATCAGCACCAACAGATATATTGAAAGGCGTGGCCGGGAAAAAGGTTTAGCGATGTAGAGAGGGGTGTTCAGTCTTTGCAATGGTCCTGAGGTATGCAGAGGTACACGACATCGGATCTTGGCTTTGAATGTATGCAGTAGAGGAGGCAAAGCCGAATGAGACTTGTTACATCCAGTTGAACCAGCAGCAGATTGAAGTCCTCGTCACATGGGGTGAGCTGCCATTCAAGCATCAGGACCTCTTTGAGATCTAGCCCGCATACAAGGTGCACAAATTTCCACCAGATGTAGCACAGCCAAAAAACACAAGCCAAAAACAAAACAGAATCCGATCTAAGCCACTTCTGCCCCAAGCGCCTCAAGTCCAAATCCTGGCCATCTGCAGAACTCATTACAAACATGGTGCTTCTCAAACTCACTGACGGCCTTTTCGATATTGCCCTCCCCGAATATATCCTGGCCTTCGCTGACAGATGAGTGCGTCATGATTTGGGGATCAGTCAGTAGCTCTGTGCTGCCTGTTCAATCCCAATATTAATGACATTGAGAATATAGGATACTTGGCGCACATACCTTGATAGTCAGATATAAAGACCAGCCCACCCGTCTTCGTGTACTGGACGTGTTGTGTGAATGCCAAGAACTGCGCAAAGTCATATCCATCCTGGTCTGGGTCAAGTAACGGGTCCGGATCCATATTATGAATGAACTTGGTAAAATCACCATCAATGACCTCTTCAAGAAGGAAACCTGCATGCAGCACCCCAGTCTTTATGGTAGATTTGCTGCTACCTTGAGAGTAAGATAGTGCGAGGCCCACTTCAACAAACCGCACACGTGGAATATTGAATGGTGGAGGATCAGGTATGCCTGCAATGGCGCGGTTGATGAAATTGTAGACGAGACCTAACAACGCTTTTGCCCAGTATAGAACGTTCGCCTCTCTGAATAACTTAGGCAGCTCGTCGGCTAGTGCAAAGCGTCTGATCCTGTAATCGGTGCTAGAGGTAGGTATACCTTGGGGGTATATTCTGTGAAATGGGTGTTTCACAACAACGTTGTGACTCACCTGTGACCCCAGACCTGAGCTAGAGGGCGCCATTAGTGTCAACCAGCCTTCGTGTGCCATTTTGAATCCGCCTATTCCAATGCATCCTTCGATGGATGGGTCAATCGTCACATAGCCGATTGATGTGTCAGTATTATCCACCGAGAATGAATGATAGCAGGTACACTTTAGAAGCTCACGGAGGGGTCGGGTAGGGATTGAGTAAAAATGTATATTTTCATTCTGAAATTTGGAAACTGACACCAAACAGTGAGTGTGCTGAATAGATTAAATGAATTACAACATACTTTGTTTAACATTTAAGTCAGTGCCTCCACCTATTTTAAGGGCCTCCCTGAGGTCATTGCGATCAGGAGACAGTGCAAGAGATACCCGCAGCTTGCGAGGGGGCGAAATCATGCCAGAACTGCTTGCACGTTTGTGCGTTCGTTTGATGGAGATATTGGAACTAGGGGCTGTGCCACTGGCAGACGCACTGGCAGATGTGTGTTGTGCCGAGTATGATGGGGCTGCACCACCAGCAGATGTGCTTTGTACTGAATTGGATGAAGGGAATGTGACACTTGCAGCTGTGTTTCGTGAGTTGGATGAAGCGAATGTGTTATCGAATGATTGGAAGGCCTTCTTGGGCGGTGCGGGTGCGCGACTGGCCTTGGGGCTGATGATAGCCTATAGAACTATTAAGTCTAGTTAGTACAGAGCACAAGTGTACAATAGATAAGAAGCGTACTGTCTCATTATCTTCTTGCCAATCTTCAAACTCAGTCCATTGACGCTCTGGGACGACTACCATGAGTGTGAATTGCTTCATCTTGAATGTAGGGCCCTTGATGGCACCTTTGGGACCTTTGCAGCCTGGCTGCAGGCACTGTGAGTAGAAGTACGGAACTGACGGCTGATGTGTCGATAAATCTACCCATCCTGAGTCTTGCACAATGAATTCTTTGTCATGCCATGAAAACATGCCACCAAAAGCACATAGCTTAGGGAGCACTGTCTCCAAAGCGAGGCTGATGAGACCTGGAGCATCAATGCGTGCATCAATGTCTTTCTTGCCTTCACAAATATTCTAAATAAATACAATCAGTGCACTCTCATAAGAGTATAGTAGGGAAGACCGTACTCCAATTGGTAGGCCTCTGGATTTCTTACGCCCCCCTGCTTCATGGACAGCCGAAATTTCGAGCGAAATGGTTTCTGCTGCTAGTACAGCACCAGGGGTAGCATAGGCAGCTTTGGCCCATCTAAGACGTTCTCCGGCATATAATCCATGGTGTGATGAATATCTGACCACACCAGTGAGCTTTGATGGTATCGGTGGTGCGGCTGATCCCTGCCAAGACATAGGGATGGCTACATCTGGACCAGTGATTGCACGGCGGCAAGGGACAGGTGGTGGACCCATGATGGCATTTGTCCAGTCAGGAACGGCCACTACAGGAGGGGGATCAATGCTTGCTATTGTGGTATCGTTAGCTCAATTTGCACCATACAAAGATTGATACAACTTACACTTTCTTTGAGCAGCGTTCACGGACTGCCGAATCATTTGGGCATTGGGCTGGCGATCACCAGCTGTATTAGACCATGTAGTAGATGACGGATACCGTGGTACTGCAAGTATTTAGATGGCATTGTTATGATAAAACCTATGATTACTCACCTGTCGGTCTCTTTGTTGAAGTCACAGACTTTGTCTGATAACGTGCATAGCAGGCTGCACATACATAATGCCCTGCTTTGCCAGGTTCAATTGTATGCACATAGTAACAGGGCTCGCCTTTGTTAATCTGGGCCTGACAAGAGGGCCGCTCACAGATCCTATCTTCGGCAGCGAAGGCATCTTCAGTGAACTGACAAATAACATTGTCAGGGTTGGCCATGAGAGGGACTGTGAATAGTCATAGTAGTACAGAGCCACGGCATAGCTTAAATACGAGAAAAATCACAAGTCAATAGAATTCAAATAGCTAAGTATGTTGAGAGAATGTACTAATCCTAAAGACCGGGAACATTGAGCGCCAGTGAATTTTTGGAAGTGGACATGGAGACACATGGCTCATGGGCAGGAGGAGCTGCAGGAGCTGCAGGTGTTTTATCAGGCTATTAGCACAGTAAGGAATTGTGAGGAATTGTAGGGACTTACCAGAGCAGACAATCAAGTAGAGTGAATGTGTTTGGAATGTGTTTGGACAAGCTTGGGAGTGGCAGGTTAAACCGACTCGATCCGAGTTATCTATGACGGCCCGAAGGGAATTAGGGCGGAGAGCTCCCAAGCATCCGATAGAGCCTCCAATATGAGTTAGTCAATTTAGTCTAAAGGTAGTTGTCACAAGCTTGAACTAACGACCAAACTCGCTAAAGTGCTTTGTGTGACTCCTGGGCCTCCAATACAAGTTAGTCAATTCAGTCCAAAGGTAGTCATCACACGCTCAAACTAACTACCAAACTCGCTAGGTATGTATTATTTCATTCCTATTCCATGAATTGCCTCATGGCTCAAGTGCATTTTGCAGGCAAGTGATTGCTTGATACGTGTATCCGACTCGGGAGAACCAGCCGAGAGCCAGCCTCATGTATCCTACACGGGGATTGGAGGGACATTGGAGGTACGTACTACTCAGCTTAAATACCCTCGTCACTAACATCTCACATCCCCAGTGCCTCTATGCCCAATCAATGGAAACCTACATGTACATCTTGTTCTGTTCTGTTTCTCTCAACCAGCCCTGCTAACTCACATACAATTAGCACCTTTGGATATAATCCAACCGCACATCCTTTGCCTTTGGAAGGCACGTCAGATGGACAAGCAGATTGTCACAGAATTGCAGAACACTTCGACACATCACACTACGGTCTCGGGTGAGTTTTGTTTTCACTTGTCCCTTCGATGTATTTACGTTCTGACACCATGCTTAGGCTCACTAAATTTCTCAAAATTCACGAGGGTATGGGCCTGCGAAGAACACGCCAGCAAATGCATACTGTTGAGACTATCTGTGAGGCGATGACCGATCTGCGTCAGACTTATCCAAATGCTGGAGCACGTGAAATGGTGAGCCTGTTATTTCATGAACAGAACATGAGTGTGGCCAGGTAATGTAGTATTTTCATCAATATCATATCTTAATTGTTAACTGTAGCATCTGTTTGCAATGCAGGAGTGTGGTGACGTCTTACTTTGCCATATACGAGCCAGAACTTGTCCTCCAGTGCAAGGCCAATCGCCTTCGAAGGAGGCGATTTTGGGCAGCAGGAGTTAACGATATATTCACAGTTGATCAACATGATAAGTGGCTTAGGTACGGCCTCGGCCTTCATACTGGAATCGAGCCTTTCTCAGGTAGGATTATGTGGATGAGGGTTTGGCACTCAAACTGGAACCCACAGCTGATCCTCAGCTATTACCTTGACACACTTGATATGCTTGGGCGTAAGTTTTTGTTTCTGGTTTGATTCTCCACTGACATTGTAATCTACCTACTACTAGATATGCCCATGGTCACCCAGAGTGACCCTGGGTCAGAAAATTTCGGCATTGCTAACGCACATACAATGCTCCGCCAGTGGCATGATCCTGCACTGCAGGGTACTTTGCAGCATCGCTGGATGCAAAACAAGAAGAATGTAATGCCTGAGATAACATGGTCACAAATGCAACACCGATTCATGCCAGGATTCGAGTCACTACTGGACCATGGAGTCATGTCAGGTTGGTATGATAGTAATAATACTCTACAAATGTATGTATCTTCGTTCATTCATCTCACTTCGAGTCTGATCATAGCTTGCGGGATCAATTTAGGATGGTCTTTTGATGGGTCTTTATACCTTGGTTGCAGCGAGAATTGGACGCATACCAGGACCGAGTGAATAACACCCAAAAGAGGCGAGACCGGAACAAGATTCTGCCACACGGTATGCCGAACATCGTCTATCAGTCACCTGAGGACTTCGGTGCCTTGGACTTTAAAGTAAGGAGCACCGTATGTGCTCATTTCATTTGTTCTTACCTTGTTTTTCACAGATCACTGTTGAACGTGAGGCATTAGATCACGTATGAAATCTCTACATCGATCCTTCTCACATCATCTTCAACCTCGTGCCACAATCATTTGGGAAGCTTATACAGTGTTGCTATGAGGAACTGGGGTGCCCATCAGTCACAAGGCAGTCAGCTTGGGATGTATACCTACTTTTACTTGATATGCTGCAAGGCAACGAGGAGATACCATCCGCTATTGAAGATGTTGAAGAAGATCTCCCGCTTTTAGAGAACCACCAGGACTTGCCTTATCGCGAGGAGAACAATGGTACCTACTATATGGGTGGGGTGGGTGGTGGACTCGGACTCGGTATGTTATCCGCTGTATAAACAACGATACAGAGAGGAACAAAAGAGGCTCCTAGCTGTATCTATAAAAATGTTGTAGGTCGAGTGTTGCCTAGTCTGCGTTACTTGAGGAGACAAGTGCGTTCGACCCTAAAGGGGAAGTGAGTGCAGCAAAGATCTAGAGGTATGCACTGAAGCGCAGCGTGAGAAAGCGCAGGTGCGCGCAAGGCGCGGGAACACGCGCGCGTATTAGCGCGAAGCGCGGGAAAGCGCGCGCGTGTATGCGGAAATGATAGAGACTAAGCTTAAGTGATGATATAATGCAAGATAAGAGATGTGAGTGCGAGATGTAAAGGAATAGAGTTCTACTGCGACTTTCTAGGTAGTAAGTACTAGGTAAAGTGAGAGGTGAAGTGGTAGGAAAAGTTGGAAAGTGAGTAGTACTATGTACTGCTGGCGCTTATATAGCGCGCTGTAGAGACTCGCGCGTCTCAATGACGAAATATCCGGCCTTTAACCATACATTCCTATATGTTACAGCTCTACTCCTAAGGACCAGTCTCGCGCGGACTCGCGCGCGCCTTATCCGAACTCGTGCGCACCTTATCCGAACTCGCGCGCACCTTATCCGAACTCGCGCGCGCCTTATCCGAACTCGCGCGCACTTAGGCGCGCCTTACCTACGCACACGCTATGCGCGCTTCGCGCGCCTCCTCATAGGTCTTCGCGCTATCGTCCGTCCATCCGTCCCATGTCCTTACTGATTCGCTGGTGCGTTATTTCTATCTTATCCATTGAACTAATAAAATCTTCGGTCCGACATCCGCGCTACTTATGGAAAGTTTATTTAAACTTAGTTATAATTAGAGTTGATATGGTTACTCGGTTCGGGAGCGCGCTCGGAAGCGCGCCTTCTCCATTCTTAAATACAGAAGGGTTTCCTTTGGTTCTGGTACTTACTTTTCCCTTATCTTTGTGTACTGGAAAGTGAATAGATCACCTCCCCACTTGTTATCTGATCATATCCTCCTGTCAATCCTCCACCTTTGCACTCACTCCTCAGTAAGATCTTGCCTCTAACGCTTTAGGCGCGCCTTCGCTTCGCACGCGCATATTCTCGGACCTCCCGCTCACGCGCGCATCTCGCGCGCCTTATCTTCTCGCGCCTATTAGCGCCCGCCTAGCTCACAGAGTTTCCCTCCACTTTATTTCGAGGAACTTCTCTCAGTGGTTGTCCTTTGGGTCGAGTTGTTGTCTCATATCCCGGTCTTGCTGTTGAGCACCCCTTTTGTTTTAAGTGTTTTCACGTATAGTCAAGATTCCTCATCTACAGCGCCTAAGCGTGGTCATGCGGAGCCAAAGTGCTACCGAGTAGGTATGTAAAGATATATATGAGTGAGAAACCATGATAAAAATAAGGTGGAATAATATACAAATGAGAGAAACAGAAATATACGCACTAGAGAATTTGGAGGACAGTGGATGGATGCATCTGGATGGCTGGCACTATAGGGCGCTCAAGCACGGGAACGCGCGCGCGCGTATACATCGTGAAGCGCGGGAATGGCGCGCGTTGCGCGGGAAAGCTGCGCCTCATATAGAGATAGCTGCAGGTAGCGCACAGAGTGGTGCTGCGAGTTTGTGCTGTATACTCCCTAGTGGAAATTGCCATATCACACCATGAGAGGCATGATTCTCTACACCGCTCGTAGTTATGTCAAACACAAGCTGACGTCTGTGCAGGTGACAAGGATTTATATCAACTAGATAATCTCATACGTGACGACGAGCCTGACACTGCAGGTAGTATTGATGAAGACATTGTCGGATTGGATCACGATGGTCTGGTCGTATGGGAGTTCTCTTATTTTTCTGATGTCTCAGATGGTGACACAGATGTACCGGTAGATGAATGGTGATTTTATTTATTGTCTTGTAGTAGCCCAGACACTCGTGCTCTGACTGGTAACCTTGGTGTCACAGTAGGGACAACAGTTTTTCATTATACATTTGTTCAACACATGTAGTACATAATATTATTTCTGATTCGCATTGGCGGTATTCAGGGTCCTACGGAAGTACTGCCTATATATGGTACTTCTAGCTGAGTAATTGAGCATGAGTGTCCGGGCTTCCATATTGACTGCAGAATTCCTTGCTTCCCCCATATCATCAATATATGTGTGAAGCATATTATTGATGATTACCACAACACCAACTTTTCATTCATGGACGAACAATGGGCAATTGGCAATCATGATCGCCCGATCATCAAGGCGGATTATCTCAAAGCAGTGACATAGAAAGCTCTCAGCAGAGCTAAGGACCTTGTGCGCATGGTTTGCACATCAGACCAGCGACATAACTTGTTCAAGGACACCATCATCACAGGTAACGAGAAGAATTGGTTCCAAAATGACCTGGGTGAGACACTATGCCTCCCTGCTGTCAAACTTCTGCTTGACAAGGTCACTCGTTGGGATTCAGTTTACATCATGCTCAACTGATTACAAACCCTTCGCCAGGTAAGGCATTGCATATGAAATATTTGTTGTGAACTAATAGTTGCCTAGGCAATAGATTTATTCTTCAGTTCTCCCACTCAGCACTCTATCAGCAAGTTCAAGTTGAGCCCGATGAAGTGGTAGTTCCTACAGGATTTTGAAGTAATCCTAGAGGTTAGTTTTAATATCTTTGAAACTCATGTTCCATCTTATCATTTCATATTAGGCACCCCACACTGCCCAACAATGCATGTCGGGCGAATGCACTCCCATGCTGAGTGGTGCATATCTGGCATTCAAAACATTGATTGAGTGGTGGAAATTGTTGGCCAAACACATCCCACACTGCAGCCCCCTTATTCAGATAGGGCTGACTTGGGCTGACAAGTATGACGACAGGATGGGCACCACAAATGTTTATGCAGTCGCTATGTGTGAGTCCAGCATTTTTTTAAAATATTTGGTTGCTCATGAGTCACAATTGCATCTATAGTTGTTGATCCAGTGATCCAAATGTCATGGGTTCAGAGTTGTTGAGAGGAACAACTGGTTGAAGATGTGCAGAAATACATAATCAAGCTGGTATGTCTATCAAACCAACAACAATGCAACTTTGAACTAATATTATCACACACAGATGCATTGAAAGCGAGCCACAAACAACTCATCGTCTATCAAGCCTCCAGCTAATGAAATAGCACCTCGACAACAACCCCGCATGCTACGCTCATGCCTTTATGGACTTCCTGATATTGGCATCCTGCCATGTAACAACAGTGGCACCCAAACAGTCAAACAAGAATTTGAGGCCTACACCATGGCTAATCTCAGCATCAAGGGAACAGATATACTTGGATTCTGGATGGTGAGCATCCAGTATCTCTACAATTCAAATCTTTATTATTGACCATGAGATGTTTACCAGGTCTCAGAGAACTTATTTCCAACAATTTATGGCATTGTGATGGACTACCTCCTGATACAGGCCTCTGCTGTTCCGTGCAAGCAAGTATTTTCATTCGGTAGCAAGACCAACACGAAGAAACATAATCACATGAGCCTAGTCCTGATGGAGGCCCTGCAGGTGGTAAAGTTCCTCGTGAAAAAAAAAAGACTCAACTTTACGAAAGGTTGGGCAGTGTCGCAAAAGGATATGGAGTATGAGGTGTTGGGCAAAGGAGGGGAAACTAATGATCTTTTGACAATTTCCAGCAGCAGAATGACAGGTGATGTATGCAACACTCTCCTCAGAGCTATTGCAGAGGAGGAGTATGATGGTATTGATGATGCTCCTACTACCTACGACTTGTGATGTTTGCTTTCCCTGCTCAATTGTTGTGTATTTTGTTTCACTCCCTCTTTACACTGCTCTTACTTCTGTTTGCCTGGCATCTTGCAATGTTTCTTGCATCATATTATGATTTCAATTGTGAACTGTTCTCTCTTCCTTGACTATCTTCATGTGGTCTTAGCGAGCCCTCACTCGTTTGTGCCCATCTGCACTCATCTGTGCATATCTGCACTCGTCTATGCATATCTGCACTTGTTTGTGCTCATCTGCATGTGTGCGTGCCCATCTTCACTCATTTGTGCCTGTCTGTACTCATTTGTGCTCATCTGCACTTGTGCATGCCCATCTGTGCTCATCTGTGCCTGTCTGCACTCGTTTGTGAGAGGAAAATTCTAGACCACTAGTGATACAGCTGCCAGTGTCATTGGGAATGAAGCATTCTGCTTCAAATATTTTTTGTGTCCTCCTTACATTAATTACAGCTCAAACTCTGGGCAATCTAGGCCATCTGGTATCCAAGGACATACTTCTGAAGATTCATCTTTAGTGATCATGGCCGATATAAAGAATGATTTCCTTGGCAGAATACCAGAGGTAAGTGACCTCATGTCATTCACCATATGTGTCTGACCTAAGGTCCATTTGTCAGGCAAAATTCCAGCTGTAAGTGACCTCATGTTGTTCACTGCCAGCTGACCAGGAGGACCATTCATGGTGATGGATATCGTCCTTGGTGTGTTTTCATGGGTCCCACCTCTTTCCCACTGATGTACAGCACATGGATCATGGATTGCAGAGTCCTTCGTGCACCATTTCACCTACCTCCTAGGATGAAGGACATGGTGATGGATATCATCCTTGGTGTGTTCCTCACCCTTACTATTATTAGGCTTGCAACACATTGTAAGTGCCCAGTTTTATAGGCTCTTGCACCTGAACTGAAATGAAGTGCATCTGATTCATTTGTGTAGGTTCAGCATTCAATCCTGGTCAAAATGCACCCTCAAATGTGCTGGCCTAGGTCATTTCTAACTTGTAACATGAGAATTCTTGAGGAGACAAGTGTGTTCGACCCTAAAGGGGAAGTGAGTACAGCAAAGATCTAGAGGTAAGCACTACTGGTCAGCCAATGCGAGGTGCGCGCAAGGCACAAAGGCGTGGGAATGCGTGCACGTGCTGCACGAAGCACAGGAAAGTGCGCGTGTGTATGCAGAAATGAGAAAGAGTAAGCTTAAGTGATGATATGATGTAAGACAAGAGAAGAGAGATGCAAAGTATAGACAAATAGATTTCAACTATGTTCTACTAAGTAGTAAGTGGGTAGTTACTTGTAAGTGAGTGCCCAAGTGAAGTTCAGTTCTGGCGCTTAAATAGCGCACCTAAGCGCTGTCATGCGGAGCCGAAGCGCTTCCGAGTAAGGTATGTAAAGATATATATAAGTAAGGGTCCATGATAAAAATAAGGTGGAACAATATGCAAATGAGAGAAACAGAAATATACGCACTAGAGAACTTGGAGGACAGTGGATGGATGCATCTGGATGGCTGGTGCCATAAGGGCACTCAAGCGCGGGAAAGCACGCACACATATACATCATGAAGCGCGGGAAGTGTGCGCGGGAAAGCTGCGCCTCATATAGGGATAGCTGTGGGTAGCACACAGAGTGACGCTACAAGTTCGTGCTATGTACTCCCTAGTGAAAACTGTCATATCAGACCATGAGACGCATGAGTCTCTACAGTGAGAACAGGGATGCCAGCTGAAGGAAAGTCTAGGGAGGTATGTGTAGAAGCAGTTAGTCTTTGAGCTGTTTTATCTTTCCTTTGGCTTGGGGGGTGTAATGTCTCCGAAAGTGGACTGTTTCGTCACATTCATTGCATTGTTGGCATTGTACCATGGTGGACTTTGCAATTTGGTGAAGAAATTGGTTCAGTGGGGCGTGGACCATGTATATTGTAGGTACCATCACCATCTAATTTCTGCACCCCATACCAGGTTCACTCATTTGCCATGACTCCAATCGCACAACTGACACAGACATGTGCCTTATTCACAATGTTCATGTCTAGCAAGTGGTATGTCATCTTTGAACATCACTAACAATTTTGAGCTGTGATCTCAATGTACCTCCCACTCTCAGTATGTACATGTTCACTTTTGCTTCCAGGCCAACCTGCAACTCATTCCTCCTTCCCCCTCCAACCCAACCTCCTCAAAACCCTGTGCCACCATTTCACTACTGGCCATCCACGAACATTCACTGCTGCCCCCTGCCTCCACTAATCCGCCTGTTCCATGAAGCCCTTGCTGGCTGCCCTGCCCTCCATCTCTCCATTTTTGCCTCTCTGTGGGCATCCTGTGTCCTGCAAGGCATGTGTAAGACTGCAATATTTCTAATTCAACTTAGCATTCAAACTAACAGAGAAATCAGCTGTCACTCACATTGTCTTGGGGGTCCATCACGATCGTGTGTTTGGATATGTGATAGGTGATTTCAGATGTAGTGTAGTCATTGTAGAATTGAATCTGATTGATAGCGCACAGCACAGATCATTACTTTTTTGTATGAATTTATTAATACATGTATTCTAATTTAGCACACAAAGTTATTTATATATTCTAATTTTAAACTAAGTTTGAGCTGGCTTAATGGCCTGGAAACACGGCTTCACTGACTGGACCAGGCCGTGTATTACATAATACATAGCTAGATACATGGCTTGGCTAATTACAGCTCTGCCCACAGCTAAAGCTGGTCACAAGCCAGAGCTGCAGCAACACTAATCACACACCTCCTTGAATTATGGGGCCAAGCTAAAGCTAGATGTGTTGTCTTGCTCCTTTAGAATTCAGGGTATCTCAGCTTGCTCTCTCCCATGGCTCTTAAGAAGGTTCAAGGCTTGTTTTGGTCAAAAAACTCTGCAGGTTTTTACCCAAACACTTGTTTAATTCCTTGCATAGTTTTAATACACTTCACTCACTTGTCACTTGGTGTTTGTTGCTCATTAGCCTTACCACAGTTTAATTCACTCGAGGTCAGAGCATAGAATTAGAATTGAGCATCCCTATAGAAAGCCAATCTATTTCGGAATAATAGGCCACACACCACTCGGCATACATCCGGTTAACCTTGTTGTTGTCTGTTTGGTAACAGCTACCATTCTCAACAAGTTCAAATAAAACTCTAAGTAAGATCCGAGAGGACCGAGACTAGCCTCCTGTGTGAATCAACATCAACATCAGCTTCACGGGTCAACATGCGGGCTGCCACCCAGAGTGGAGTAGACCTTTTGAAGGACGAGTACAAGGGAGCATTTATATCCAGTACTACGGGCAGCAATTAGGCGGTGTGGAACCTCGAGGACTGGGTCAAGGCAGGTTTCATCGCAATTTGGGTTCCTGGTGGAGTTGTGCATGCCACACTTTGCATTTGATTGCTGACTCCGCGTTCCGGAAGGGTTGTAGGTGATGTATGCGCATATAGCACGCATGCACAGCAAGGTGCTTTCTGTTGGTAAGAGCCATAGTTTGCGAGCGAGGTTCAAAGACAGGTTTGAGGCGGAGTGAGAGATGCTACGAGTATTGGCGAGAATGCAAAATGTTGCTGACTATTCGCAATGCCCTGGAATGACTATATCATCAAGCCTCGATTCATCAAGCCTCGATTCATCCTCCACCAGTTGTGTGATATATGCGAATTCCTTGTCAGTTCGACTCAAAGGAGGCTGCACATATCGCGCATCACATGCAGGTGTACATGGACTTGTGCAGGCAAAGTGGGTCGATATTATCAATGTTTTATAAAAGATCCCGCTAACGGCCAATAGCAACAGTACATTGTCTGTCGTATTTGATCCAAAATTCAGTGACGTGCGTGTAAATGTAATTTTCTCGATGTTAGGTTTCAGTCAGATGCACAGGGTCATTTTTGCCTTTCAAAGTAGTATTTTGATCTGGGCTGGCAAGTCCTCAAATTGTTATGTTACGGTAAAAGACGCAAGGTGTCGAAGCGCGCCGCAAGTCTAGATTGGAATCTCATGTCTGGCTTAAAATCTTGCTTCAACCTCCAACTCCCGTCATTTTCCCTCTACCCTTTACCATGTCTGCTACCATGCTTCCCCGCTTCCCTTTTTTCTTTCTACTCCTGACTGTAGGCGCGTCAGGCTTCCCCATAGATGACATAGCACCCTCGATGTACGTGCGTGATCCCTTTGGAACGTTCAGCTACACCTAGGACTGGCACAGCTCGACCGTCGTAGTTGAAATCGACATTCCAATCTTCAATCAACAGGTCGCGGTAAGTTTCCATCGTTTGCAATCTTCTGCAAGACTAAATTTTATACTCAGATGGCCGAGCTTAAAGCCATCAAACTAAAATACGGGAATGTGCAAGATGTTATAGCTGGCAAGAACCTCGTGGTGTTACCAGATGCACTTTCAGACCCCAGGCTCGATGGACTATCAGATGCAGCGCTCACCGATACACCGAGCAACCTCTCCGGCTTTGCGTTGTCCAAATCAACGCCAACATCACAACAGGTCAAGAGCTTTTTTGCGATGAATGCCGCCGCTCAGAGTGCGACGGACCCTCTGACAGATGAGATAGCTGGAAACATCGATCTCCAGTACTACGGCCCAGTTGGGTTTGGGAACGAGACACATCCACAACAGCTCTCAGTGATCATAGACACGGGCTCTGCAGACCTCTGGATTCCTGTTGGATGTGGCGATTGCGTGAATCGACAATACGAAGCTAATGCGAGCTCGACGTACACAGACACCGGGAATTCATTCAATGTGACTTACGTGCGTCTCCCCTCCCACTAACTCGATGCCGGTCTGATCTTGCTGGATGGCAGGGATCCGGCAATGTAGGAGGCACCCTTGCGCATGATACGATCGGTGTTGGTAGTCTGAAGATCGATAAGCAATACTTTGGTGCTGTCACCCACGTATCGAGTGACTTCAATGACGATCCGATCTCCGGCCTCATCGGGCTTAGTTTCAGCTCTATTGCGGCGTCAGGGGAGCCAACGTTCTTTGAGAACCTGATCATGCAGGACAAGGTCTCGGCACCATTCTTCTCTGTGTATTTGACAAGAGGAAAGGCGAACGGGTCGACGGTACGTTGTGCTTTAGCGTTGATACGATCATAATCGAGATGATTTTAGATAACTCTTGGAGGTTTCGATGTGTCGAAGGCAGAGGGACCTTTGACATGGGTCCCAGTTATTTCCAAGGTTGCTTCTCCTGCGCCTTTATGCCCCTCTTCTAACTGGTTCTCATCGACAGACCTACTGGACAGTACAATTCGATGGAGCTGTTGTGGAAGGGAAAAACGTAACTGGTGACCTCCATGCGGTAAGGTTCAGCCCGTCAGCCGCATCTTCACTCAGTTCCACCTCACTCACCTTGCATAGGCAATTGACACGGGTACTACTTTGATATACCTCTCACAGGCTGTGGCATCCTCGATCTACGCCAATGTCAGTCTCTCGCTCTTTGCTTCTCTCGTCAACCTTGCTGACGAGTCATAGATACCCGGGGCGGGCCCCGCAGCAAATTACGACTCTAATTTCTTCTCCTTTCCATGCAACTCCAGCCCCACAATTTCATTATTACTTGGTGGGCACGACTTCGGCCTTGACCTTCAAGACTTCAATCTCGGACAAGAGGCAGACGGGTCAAAGTAGGTCAAAGCGTCTTTATATAATACATGCTGCCTGAACGAGCATAGAAACTGCATCGGCGGAATCGTTGGGATGGATGATGCATTCATGGAAGGATTTGCCATCATCGGTAAGTTGTTTGGGTACTTGGTTCATTCTGTTGATTGTACGTTAATGTTGCGTGCTACAGGGGATGAGTTTTTGAAATCATGTGAGTACTGTCTTCTTTTCACGGGTTTGATCTGGAACGTTCGCGATTGTTGTTTTCCAGGGTACTCGGTGTATGACTACTCCCACGGGGCGCGGGTAGGTTTTGCCCCAAATATTAATAACGCGCAGTAGGATATTTGGAACTCTTGATACCCCAATGGACACTAGCGTATCTAAGTTTGAGAGAGATGGCGGATCAGGTCAGCCTGAGTAGACGGTATCGTCATCATCGTTATTGTTCCTTCGACGGACTTCAGATTATACCAAAGTCATACGATTTGAACGTAATGAGGTAGATCAGAGCCTTTATTCCACAACCGACGTGAACCACCACAAAGAGCTGCTGCCATGCTGTCAACCTCAAGGGGTCTTTAAAGTAACAGGGAAACAACACAGCATCGACATTGACAGTGCTTATTATTATTCAGCTAGACTGGGTTCGGATTACATCAGAATTACATTATATGAACGTCAGGAGGTATGGTGTGTTGTACAAGAAGCGATGACAGGTGACCAGTGTGATTCCGTCGACGTCATCAAGGAGTCAAAAGGTAACCCCATGGACGAAAGACAATGCCAGTACTTCTCGCTGGAAAAAAAATTACACTGCTCACAGCCTGAATGGGTGACCGGTGCACGGTGATCTTGTGGTATTACTCGAACCCCTGATAACGTCATCAATCACGACGAGGTGAGAGCGAGGACAACACGTCTAAGTCATTGTTGCGGTTCGGGAGTGCGAGGATGATGGTGGCAGTGGTACAGGCACAGACTCGTGTTTTGAAATGGCTGGCGATGATGACATTGATATATACAAGTAGTAAAATCCTCCATACCTGGGGGAGATGCGCTTGAGGCCGGACACATTGATGTCGAATAATTTAGTGACAGCGTGTCCGGCGTTGTCGACGTAGGACGAGTTTGGCGCAGGGAAGGCCGGTTTTGGCGGAGGGCGATCATGATAGTGGTCAGAAGAGGGCGTGGGCGCCAAAAGCGCACCCTTGATCACCGGAGAAGGACGAGGGCCGCGAAAGTGACGAGCAAGTGGAATTTGGTACGGTGTGGTGGAGGGCGCCCGGCGCACGCACTGATGAAACTTGATTTGAGAGTGAGATGAACGCGGATGGCAAGTATTCCGGACTCGAACAAGCAAAGATATAGGCAATAAACAACCTGAGTTGTAGGTTGAGTTTAAGTGACGACTTTCGTGTGGACGAATCGTCCTTGCCGTTCGCGTTGACCTCAGCGAGCGCCAGAAAGTTAGTCAAAGGGCGCAGAGGTAAATCTGCAGCTGACGAATCTTGTCATCACGTTCTTACGTTATGCCAACGTTCCGTACCTTGTTTTCGGGAGCTTTGTGGAACATTTAGGAAGGCACTGGTCACTCCCATGACCGTGAAGTTCACTCAGTAATCACATCTTCATTACCCCTTGCTCGCGCATAGCACCGAGAACGGCTACAGCATATCCGGGTGGTTGCGGACATGAACTGCAAAGCAACGATGATCATCCCTGCACTTGAAGTGGTCGAAGCAACCGCGACAACCTTAACGTTAGTATGGTTCGTGCTGTGTTGCAATCATTCTGGCAAGTAGATGACTGTCTACACGTGTTCGTAACCAAGATCCGCAAGAAGCTGCCACATACGTTCACATGATGCTGTACAGGGGGATGGTTCATAGCTATGTGGATGCACCACAAACACCACCGTACAGGATTGGAAAGTCTGCCAGAAGTAATCTATGACAGCATAACCACTGTAAAGGCAAGGCTGTTCCTCATGCTGTGTCGCCACGAGGTCAAGCGAGATTACCTGGTATGACATCAAGGAGGAAATCATTCCGAAATGTACGCTTTAAGTTGGATGAGTCGATGATGCGCATGATGGCATCGTTTTGTTCATGACCGCAGCCTGAGCAGACAAACTTTCTTGAGTGTGGTGTGACGCGTGACTTCACTTGAAAGCGATAGAGTATATATGGAAATCTCGATTATCGCCGTCCCTCCACCTCAACACCCACAACTGACTTTCGATGCAACCAGATTCTGCGTCCGCTCAGGACGACGTTTCTTCTTATAATGCTCCTAGACCTGCCCCAGTTCCTGTATCGTCCCAGAGACCAGCACCACGTCCGCCACCCTCCTCGGGTGGTGCACCCCGTAACACTTTAAGTGGTCTACTCGCAAACAGAGGAGGAAATGCTCCAATACCTCCTTCATTGCAGGCAAAAATGACAGCAGTATGTATTTCACTCGCCATCTTTGATGGACCGAAAAATTTTCATTCCTGTGTCTGACCTACCTTGTTCAGATGATGAATCGCGGATCAGCTGCGTCACCCGGCTCGGCCATCGATTCCGCAGCACACGCGCAACGTGCTTCCATAAACGAAACGAATCACCCAATTGTTCATTCTTCTTTCTCATTTTCCGCTTCACCAGGCTCATCATCATTGGTTGCTACACGCGCTCGCGGACGCGGTGGCGGTGTTACTGCTGCGGGTAGACGCACTAGGCCAGAATTTAAATTATCTGACATGAACCCTGAAACGGGAGGCGGTGCTATTGGTGCAGGGCTTGGAGCAGGGCGTCCATCGCTAGCTGAAGCCAGGAGAGGACCCTCATCATTTGATACTCCGTTTGCAAATTTCAACAAGATCGTGTGCGTATCTCTATCTTTTTTCCGCTATCATGAGCCAAATCCAACTTCTTCCCCTCTTTTAGTGATCCTTCTGGACGCCTCAACTTCGCCGGGAAAGCCGTTCTGCATGCTTCGGGCGTCGATTTTTCCAATGGATCATCTTATGCTATAAATATGGAACAGCTTGTTCTTGAGCAGGAACTCGGCCGTGGTAACTATGGTACAGTCAAGAAGGTTCTGCATCGACCGACAAAGGTCGAAATGGCTATGAAGGTCCAACCCCTGACACGTTTTTGATCCCCCTTATCTAATCATTGCTTCCAGGAAATTCGTCTCGAGCTAGACTCCACTAAACTCAATGGAATATTGATGGAGTTGGACATCCTGCACCGCGCAGTAAGCTCATACATTGTGGAATTCTATGGTGCTTTCTTCGTGGAATCGTGCGTGTACTACTGCATGGAGTACATGGATGGTGGTTCGCTGGCTTCTCTGTGTTGCTTTCCGAATGGTAATGTTTCTCTGCCGCCAAGTCTATCTACCAGTCCGGGCTCTGCATGGACGTCTAGCCCTCCACCGCTTGCCGATGAGCACCTCTGCCGCATCGCTTCATCCATGACGCATGGTCTTGAATTCCTCAAAACTGAACTTGGGGTCATGCACCGGGACGTCAAACCTACGAACGTCCTTGTGAATTGCAAGGGCGAAGTGAAGCTTTGCGATTTCGGTGTTAGCGGACAGCTGGAGAAGAGCATTGCGAAGACGAATGTCGGTTGTCAAAGTTACATGGCTGTAGGTTCTTACCTCCGATTAGTACTGAATTCTGTTAATCGTGTACTTCCGCAGCCTGAGAGAATTAAGGGTTCTTCACCATCTGGATCTAATATGGAAGATGCCTTCACTTCATACACGGTCAGTGCGGATGTATGGTCCCTGGGCTTGTCGATTGTTGAAATTGCACGAGGAAGGTGTGCCCTAGTTGGCTGTATTTTTGGCGCAGAACTGACCAATCGATAGATACCCATACCCTCCGGAAACTTACGAGAATGTATTTGCACAACTAAGTGCCATAGTGGATGGCGAAGCACCTGGACTGCCAGAAGACGAGGAAATCGCAGACGAAGAAGTTGATGTTCACACTCAGGATAACGGTGCATCTCCAGTACAGTTTAGCATCATGCGCAAGGGAAAGCGAAGATGGTCTCCAGAGGCGCATGACTGGGTTCGACGATGCCTCATCAAGAATGCAGATGGGCGAGCCACTTACAAGGAGTTACTTGAACATCCATGGATGCAGACCGACAGACATCGAGATGTTGACATGGTGAGTTGGGTAGCAAAGGCGATCGAATGGCGGGATCGGGGAGGGAGATAAGCAAGTATCATGCATTCGCAGTGGCCGTTGTTCCATGCATCCTATCTGCATTTTTTCGTTTTTGCATTGCCTTTTCTCCACATAGATACTCGACGCATACCGCCATCGTTTTACCCAACATTCTTTTTGCTCACATGTATTATCACTCACACTCGCGCATTGGCGCTGGTCGTTGATATACCCTAATCCCCTTTGCTATGTTGACGTTGTCCATTATTTCCTCGTTCTCTTGGGATTGCAGTAGACCGTAGTGGACCATTATATTGTTTTGTTTCGCGGGCATGTAGCTTTAGTTTTGACTTGCAATTAATGGGGCCGGTTGTTTGGTCGTGTTAACATCTGAAGGTGTCACGTCACTGACTCTTTCAAGAACTTTGAAGCATTTTGTGTTTTAGATCATCGGCTCGAGCCGAAGGTTTCAAGCTGTCGTCACTCCACCAAGGTGATTGCTTGTCTAGTAGCGTGTTGTTCGATCATACTCACATTCCGCAGTCATCCTCAGCTTCGTGCTGTTTCTTCGCGCGGCGTACACTTTTTTCCGCGGTACACTTTTTCACCAGTCCAAGCATCCGTTCTCTGCCATGATTCATGTCAAATGGGACAGGGAGATTCTTCATTTTCCAGTACCTCCTCCGGAGACTAAGCTCGGAAAACTGAGAACAGACCTAGCAGAATATACCCACCTTCCTCTCGGATCCTTCAAGCTCATCCACGCTGGAGCTGTGATGAAGGATGATTCCACGCCACGTATGTAGAGTCATGTGTGTTTTCAGCTTGGTGCCTCAGCTTATTATTTCCCAGTGACAGCTTATAAAATACGCGAGAACTCTACTATTGCGCTGATCGGCGGTCATTCGCTTCCATTAGCGTCGGCGCTTGCACCACCAGCTAGACCACAACCCAAAATGAAAGAGCCACCAACAGAACAAAGCACTATCACTGCTATTAGGTCCGAGCTTGATCGTGTACGGACAACACTGGTACCAGACGTCGACGCGTTGGTCGACGCACTTACTCCATCTGCAGCCACAACCGCGTCATCTCCCACGTCTGCTCCAACACCCACATCAGGAAGTACACCAACGCAGTCATTTAGCTCCACTGCACAAGCTCCTCATTTCCCCCCTCATCCTACGTCCGCTTCCTATACATCGAAGCCCACTTCATCGGATCACACGCGCTTATCCGAACTTCTTCTGCAGTCGTTGTTGCGTCTTGATGCTATGCATCTGGCGGGATCGGATTGGCCTGAGGCTCGAGCGGAACGTAAAGCTGCTGTTCGTGAGGTTCAGGGAGTGCTTGACCGGTTGGATGGGGCTTGGTCGGCGCGGTGAGTGCTGC